TTACGATCGACAAATCGCCTACAATGAATTTTTCTTCATTTATCGTCAACAGTCGCTCGCCAGCTGGCAAAATAAATGGAGTGAAGGAAGTTTGGGACGATGGCTATTCTCGATCATCCCTAAGGTGTCGAAGAGTCCTTGGTTCAAGGGGTTGGATGTGGGTCGAGACTTCATTCGTCTGATGTCTCGCCTCATGTCCAATCACTATTCGTTAAACGCTCACTTGTTTCGTGTTGGGCTGGGAGACAGCAATCTCTGTGAATGTGGACAAGGTTACCAAGACGCCGATCACATCCTTTGGTCTTGTGCTGAGCATCGTGGAGTCAGATCTGAGCTATGCGATTCCCTTCGGGCTCGAGGTAGACAACCTAATGTTCCAGTTCGGGATATTTTGGCTAGACGTGATCTGGAGTTTATGAAACTCATATATGTTTACTTTAAGAATACTAACCTTAGATTGTAAGTTTGATTAACCTTGTGTTTAGTTTGTGTATTGTGCGTGTAGTTTTTTTTTTATGTTTGTCTTCAAGATGAATAGAAATAAGTTCATGTTTTAGGATTAATTAAATATTTGTATAATAAATCATATTTCAAACCTCCTTCTCCCTTTCCCCATCCAAAAAATTGTAAATCTCCACTAACCTCGAGACGACCGCGAGTAATCGGTTCAATTCCTTTAACTCTAGATTTAAGACATGAATCATGTATAATGCAAATGATAACTCGGCTCTGTAAAGTTTATTCGATTGAGCCTGTACAAATAAATTAATAAAAAAAAAAAATTATGAGGCAACGTGAGGTGCTAAGAGTACAAGACTTTAGTCTGCTGGGCATCGATCAAGATTTCGTTGAGCTTGTAGAATATTAAGATCTGAGCTCCAGAACAAATATATGCCTCACATGACGTTATGGGGCACCATGAAGTAATTATAGTGAAACAAATTCTGTCGGTACATCGTACAAGATATTCATGAGCTTGTAGAACTTCTAGATTTCAACTGCAGGATGATTTGCTGAACCAAAGATATTTTGTCAACACAATTATGTTTAGATCTTCGAGATATATACTCCATGTTGATCTGAAGAATTTGTAATACCACACTCTGCCCACACCGCAAACACCAATCCCGCCCGTTCCTACACCACGACCGCAAACTCCGCGAACGCCAATAGTACCCCCACGTAGTCCATTGCCAAATCCGCAGTCGCCAACCCCACGCCCGCGTTTTCCTCGAACACCAATTGTGAATCCTGATGTGCCAGTAGTTCCCAGACAAGTTGCTGTCGATCCAGATCTTGTGAACAAACTGCCTGCCGAACTCCAGATCCAACTTCTAGAGGAAGAGCAAGCCATCGAACGCAAGTTTCTGTTGCGTAGGTTTCAGCTTCTGCTCGAGTCGTCGGGAAATGCCATTCCTGCACGACAAAGTAGTCCAGAAGGAAACGCTTTTGAACCAAACAACACAAGAAACCATCCTGTCTTTCATTCTTCACCTGTGAATAGTCATCGTAGAAATATGCCTCCCTTTGCATCACCCCCAGTCCACCAAGATCACGACGGACCAACTTTCGCTCCACATCGGGACCCTCCTCGTATTGATCAACATTCGAACATACCAGCGTTCAATCCACCTCCACCTATCCACCGTCCTATCGCTTCGACGTTTGCTTCTCTCTGGACCGATCAACATCAGCATATTCCGACGTTCTCTCAAGCGAATCATACTCAGCGTCCGAATGCTTCGGCATTTGCCCCATATGCTGGTCTTCCGCGTCCTGCCGCTCAAGAGTACTATCCGTACGACTTAAATGACTATCCTTCTGCCACGGGGGGAACGGCGTTGCTGAATAAAACCCAAATCGCCGCACGTCATGCAGTCTCTAAGGAACTACCAATCTTCAGCGGGGAACCGGATGAATGGCCCTTGTTTTTCGCAACCTACGAGGACACAACGAACCTTTGCGGAATTTCGGCGGAGGAGAACATGGCTCGTCTATTATTTATTATTATTTAACTTTATTAATGAGGCTTTCAGCCTTGGGCTGGTTCGCCTCCATCGGCTCGTCTACAGAAGTGTCTACGTGGGAAGGCATTGGAAGCAGTTAAATGCCAGCTGTTGCACCAAACCAACCTGGATCAAGTTCTTTCGACGTTGAGAATGCTGTTTGAGCGTCCGGAAAACATCGTGCATTCGCTGCTGCAGAAGATAAACACTCTTCTCACTCCCAAAGTAGAACGCCTAGGTACGCTCGTCGATTTCGCGCTGGCCGTACGCAACATGGTAGCAACAGTGAAGGCCTGTGAGTTAGAGGAGCATCTGTGTAATTTGACACTGCTGCACAATCTGGTTGATTGTCTTCCACCGATGATTCGGCTGAATTGGGCGACCCATCGTCAGTCTCTTCGGTCGGTTACTTTGTTGGAATTCAGCGAGTGGTTGTACAAACTGGCAGAAGCTGCGAGCACGGTGATGATGCCTCAGTTCTCGGGCTCCTTCGACAGCAAGGCACGCCGGGAACGGAAGAACGATGGATTTCTGAACGCACACACCGAGACCGTTCTGAAGGTCAACCATAGCGACGTTGATAATGGATATGTCATTTGCAATGGCAACTGTGTAGCAGTTGAGAAGTGCAAACAATTCGTTGCAATGGATCTTTCCGCTCGGTGGACGGCACTCCGGGAACACAAATTATGCCGTAGCTGCCTGGAGAGTCATCGAGGTTCCTGCAAGTCCGGGAAGTCGTGTGGTAAAAACGGCTGCCAATACAAACACCATCGGATGATGCACAACGACGCAAAAAATACATCGATAGCGTCGTCTTCGTCGAGTTCGATAATGACTACTTCTACTACACAGCAGGTCAGCGCGAGCAGTTCCCGAGAAACCAGATCATGCAACACGCACCGAGGAGAAGGTAGAGCTGTACTATTCCAGTACGTTCCGGTTACGCTGTACAATGATGGGATCAAGGTGCAAACCTATGCGTTCCTGGACAGCGGATCTTCCTTGACACTGATGGAGGAAAGTTTGGCGAAGGAGTTGAATTTGCGCGGCGAAAGGCATCCACTACCCAACAAACAATTTTAGCTGCAGCTTAGCTTATACAGGCAAAAATTAGCTGCATAAGGCAAATTTTGGCTGTATAAGCTAATCTGCAGCTAAAATTGTTTGTTGGGTATGCCTTCGCTGGACAGCCGATACCTGCCGTTACGAAGATGATGCCATGCGAGTCTCTCTCAACATTTCCGGCACGTACAACGGATGTCCTCAAAACAACCTGACAGATGTCTACACGGTTAAAGAGTTGAAACTTCCGCTGCAATCTCTCTCCGTTCGCAAGCTTTCGGAGGAGTACCATCATCTCGAAGTGTTGCCAATAGAATCGTACAGCAACGTTCAACCCAAGATATTGATCTGCATGAATAACGTACGAGTTGTTCATGCCCTGGACAGCCATGAAGGGAAGCCAAATGAACCAGTTGCTGTCAAGACACGCCTTGGATGGACGATCTACGGAACTTGTTCGTCGGAGAACGGTCCGTCGTTAAACAGCGCCCTGGACAATAACCATATATGCTGCCACTCTCACGAATCGGTCGATTTTCTACACGAAACCGTGAAAAGCTACTTTGCGCTCGTTTGGGTATCATAGCCCCGCATAATCAACTTCTTTCCAAGGAGGACGAACGAGCACGAGCGCTAGTGAAACTGCGTGACGGTACAACGTTCCAGAGCGGGCGCTACCAAGTGGGCCTTTGTGGAAATACGATGACGTACGCCTACCCAAAAACAGGTCGATGGCTTTGAGACGTCATTACTGTCTGGTTAAGAGGATGGAACGCGATCCCCAACTGGCCGAGACGTTGAGAGCGAAGATGACAGACTACGTCAGCAAGGGCTACGTCCGCAAGTTAACCCCGGAGGAAAGTCAGAGGACGAGTACCTGGTACTTGCCCATATTTCCGGTCTTCAACCCTAATAAACCAGGCAAGGTCCGAATCGTGTTCGATGCAGCCGCGTCGTTTGGAGGAGTATCGTTGAATTCCGTGTTGATGAAGGGTCCGGATCAACTAAACGCTCTACCACTAGTCCTATATAAGTTCCGAGAGCGGTTGATTGGTCTAGGAAGTGATGTAGCTGAAATGTTTCATCAGATGTTGATGAACCCACAAGATGAGAACAGTCAGCGAATCGTTTGGTGTGCCAGCGATGGAACGACGGAGCCGTGTGGTTGTCACGTTTGGCACTACCTGTTCACCTAGCACTGCGCTATTTGTTCTGAACGAAAACGCTGCCTGTTTCGAAAGCGAATACCCTATGGCTGTTGACGCTATCCGCCGGAGGCACTACGTGGACGACATGCTCACGAGCGTAGACACGGAGGAGGAAGCCATAGAGCTGGCTAATGATGTACGCTACATTCACCAACAAGGCGGATTCTTCATGAGAAACTGGGTGTCGAACTCCACCAAAGTGCTGGAAGCCCTCGGAGAAAACCCTCAGCCGGAAAAGTCAATGGAGATGAGTGCTGAACTTGCCATGGAAAAGGTCCTTGGGATGTGGTGGAGCACAACAAAAGACGTCTTTCGCTACAAGCTCTGCACGGAACGCAACAGAAACCTTCTTACCGGAATCAAGCACCCAACCAAACGGGACATACTACGGACGCTGATGGCCATCTACGACCCTTTAGGTCTCATTGCGCACTACTTGATGTTCCTGAAGATACTGCTGCAGGTCTAGAGAGCGAAAACCGGATCGAGGGGGGTGACACATCTAAATCTTAATTCTAGATGCTCAAAAAATCTCACACTAGCGAATAAATCTTCTTTCATTTCTCGCATCTACTTGCATCGAGCATCATTTTTTTGCAGGAAATCTCAAAATCATGATAAATCTTCTTTCTATCTACTCAGCGTACGCGCAGCTAGCCACAGCAAAATACAATATTTCCTGCATCGTAGATGTTATTTCTGGACTGATGCTCGGGACGTCATGTGCTGGCTACAATCGGACCACCACCAGTACTCCCAGTTCGTGGCTTTCCGCGTGGGTGAAATATTGGAAGAGACGGACGTTACGGAATGCAGGTGGATAGGTACTAAGGTGAACGTGGCAGACGACGGAACAAAGTGGAAGTACAAACCGGATCTCAAGCCAGCAAGTCGTTGGTTCAATGGGCCATCGTTCCTGTGGAGACCCAAAATAGAATGGCCGGAGTCGTCACTAAACGGCCAGGAAACCGCCGAAGAAATCCGTTCAAGCGTGATGCACCATTGAGTGGGGAGAGTTCGTACCGTTTTGTTGCCAGAGAATTTTTCATCGGCTGAAGAAGGAAGGTCTACAATAGAATGTCGGGTCGCTTACGCAGCAGGAGCTTCTCAAGGCGGAAGTGTTCGAAATAAAACGAGCGCAGGAAGAGGTCTACGTAGACGAACTTGCCATCCTTGCAGTGGGTGCTCGCCTACTCCAGAAGAAGAACAGCCTGTTCAAGGTCAGTCCGTTCTTGGACAAGCGAGGCGTGATGCGCATCCATAGTCGGTTGGGCGAATGCGTCTTCGTAGACGAGAGCAACAGGTACCCCATCGTGCTCCCTCGAGAGCATCCCGTTACAGTGCTTCTCATACGCGACGTTCATCTACGATATCATCATCATCACGAAACCTGTGTGAACGAAGTGCGCAAAGGTTTCCACATCCCACGAGTTCGCAGAGTCTACGACCGAGTGCGTCGAGAATATCAACTATGCAAGGTAATACGCATTGCGCCAGCGCCACCGATGATGGCCCCGCTACCGAAGGCAAGGATGGCAGCCTTCGTTCGCCCGTTCTCGTACGTCGGCGTGGACTTTTTCGGGCCGTTCTTCGTCGTTGTAGGGCGCCATCACGAGAAGCGATGGGGTGTCATCATAACATGTCTTACGGTTCGAGCGATACACCTCGAATTGGCTGCCTCGTTAAACACCACGGAACTGTTTTGCTCGACGGGGAACTCCAGTAGAAATCAGAAGCGATCGTGAGACGAACTTCGTGGGTGCGGACAAGGAACTTAAAGAGGCGGTAGCGGCATTGGAACAGGACAGGTTCACAGCGGAATTTACCACACCGACAACAACGTGGCGTTTCAATCCTCCTGCGGCGCCGCATATGATTGGTTGTTGGGAGCGGCTCATCCAATCTGTGAAAAAGGTACAGTTAATCAGACCCCAATAGTACCCTTAATTCAAATAATGATGCAACTCACACACAACAAACTACAGAAGTATATTCATCATCCTCTATAGTCGGTCTCCAACAATGTTCTCCACCGGTTCCAACCCTTTCCGGTCGCTGATAGACCGTTGCTTTTCACATCACGAAAGGCTAGGTTTCTGGTCTCCCTTTGAGGGCATTATAAAACCCTAAAACACAGAACTTTTGTTATACTATGAACAGAAAACTCCAAAATTTTGCAAACCCGCCACGTCCCACTTCATCTTCAATCCGATTTATCCTTCCGACTTCAAACCAAAATATTCAAGGTGTCAGAAATACTGGGTTGCCGGGATGGGTATTTTACAAATAATCGCAGATTGCTCTATGACCGGCACAATCGGCACACTAACACACAGAAGACCCAAGATTGGTGTGCGGAGTGACCTACCCCTTGGGTTGCCATGACAATGACCAACACATCTCTTTCAGTTTTTTTTTTTTTTAATTTCGAACTGCTAAAGCCAAAGTTAGAGCGATATAAGTGAAATTTAAAATGCTTCCATAGTAATTCCCATACAAATTACAAACCATTTGCACGACATTGTGTTGCTAGATCCGAGTTTTCCGCATCCCGCTGGGCCCGAGGAAAACAACCTTTGCGGCCCGTTAGAGACATCTTGGCGAGCCGAGATCTCGACTATTTAAATTTAATTTATGTTTTTTTTAAAACGGATAGATCTGAGGATTTAGTAGTCAGTGTCATCTTGTGTTCTCCCAAATTGTTAGCTCCCCATCGGTGTAACACCATGTTTGTCTTTTTCATCAGTATGTCGCTTAGTTCGAGATCAAGAGCACATTTCTCTCCAAATCTTGTGTTCTCAATCCCTACCGTGACATCCAATTGTTACAATTTGTTACCCCTAACCTCGAGATAGCCATGAGTAATCGGCCCCCGCTTTACTAACGTTAGTTTTAAGTAAGTTTGTTATCCAAACACCGAATATCGGCTCCACAAAGCTACAGCAAATGAGCCTGGAAAAATAAAAGCATTATAAAAAAATCTTCACGAGAAACGCAATCATACCCTGAAGTAAAATTACCCCTTCACTATTGATTTTTTTTGTGCGCCTCCAAAGTTGGTACAGATGTTATAATATATAAACCAAAAACACAGTTTTGCCTATAATTCTTCGAAAACACATAGAAATTTTGTGATTTTTGGGAGAAAGTCTGGCTCCAAAAGACCTTCCAAACAAGTGCCAAAACATTGAGTTTCATTTTGCACGGGCTTCGAAAATCTCAAAACAGAACTTTTGCCCAAACGAAATTTTACCTCAGCTTACTCTACATGAGAATTACTGTAGAAAAAGAGATCTCTTTGTTTTCAACGTTCTGGCCCATCGCTATAGTAATCTCCAGAAAATTTTGCTATCTGCTCTTATGGGAAATTTGATCAGCTTCAACTTTACTGAAGACTTCAAGTTAATTAGTTATTGAATTATTTCGAAGGTGAAAACTTTCTGATATGATAAATTGACTGCTTTCAGGGCAACATTGCATCTTGAACTTGTGACATAGTAGCCGGCAATTTTTGCCCTATTCATCACTCTAAGTACACCAATGTTGCCTGCTGAGCAGTTGATGGAGCATGTCACATGAACATCATCTTCCTAATTATTTAATAACTTATTATTCTGACGTTCAATAAAAAAGAAGTCTTTAGCTGTCTGTTCAAGTTGAGAATATTTCCTAATAGTACAGGTATCAAACTTCTCCGTAGATCACTCCAGTGAAGATCTAGAATGATGGGAACAAAAAGAAGCTAGAATGATGAGAACAACTTTTCCCAAATATTTATTCTTTTTTTTTAATATAGAAACTTTCAGCCGTTGGCTGGTTCGTTTTTTTTTTTAAATTCAACCCACGTCTCTTTTAAATTCAACCCACGGATTCGAAACTCAAATGTCATTAGCCAAATACATCCGTAGACCATATAGATGGAAATTGTGGGTTCGAATCCCAACGGTGCCCTTAGATTTTTTTTGCAAATTTTCTCAGACACACGTCTCTTACCGATGATATGTGCTTACCTCTCAGTATGTTGAAACTATCTTAACAACAGTTAAATTGGCTGCAAGTCACTAAACCGTAAATCATAATCCCATAAATATCCAATTTTAGGAGAATTATCAGGATATGATTTGAAATCGATTGAGCTTGGTGGAGCCAAAGCGATACTTTGAACCGCCCTAATGAGTAAGTTAGCAATTGATGTCTGGGTGGTTTTTATGATTTTTAAGACTACAGCAATTTTTAACGTAGTGAGTGTGAGTGCATTAAAATGTATGAGGATATCTAGGAGGACTAGAAAAATTTCTCAGGGGATTATAAATTAATTTGGTCGACTTGTTTCGCGCTCCGTTGTTTTGGAAGTTTTCTCGGTATTCGCTTGATATAAATTATCAGTTTTTTTCTCACTAAGTGACTCCTGGCATAGTTCCCGGTAAATTGATCGAAAAGTGAGTTTTTTTTTAGTAGAAAGTGTCATTTTCGGAAAGAGTAATCCGTGCTATTGGAAATTCGCGAACCAATTTGGGCATCATCGTTGCGTGGTCACGCATACGCGCTTACGCATACCCGCGCACGTATCATCATCATCGAGTGTGAGCACCCGTTTCTACATCTACATCGTTCATCAATCATCGTGCGCCTGTGTGCGCTGAGTACCGAGCCTCGATCAAGTGCACCACAACGAAGGTCATCCACGCAGCGCGTCTCTTCCAGCCATCTGCGTAAACGCCTACACATATAACGCTCGGTGGTAGTAGTATAGAATTATCAGATAAGTTTTTGTTTTTTTTTTGTTTCTTTTCCTCCTCCATTAGTTAAATTTTCATTTTGTATTTCTGTGTTTGTAGTGTTTTCTGTGTATTGCGTCTGTGCGTTCAGTGGGAGAGCGTTTTGCGCTCCCACTAGCTGAACAAAATGGATGTTTTGTCAGAAGACGACATGGATGACCATTCATCTCAGAAAAATGATGATGTCATCCATGGTTCGTCGTCTCAGTCTGACAATGGGCAGGCTGAGAAAAGCTCCAGATTGCGGGCCTACCCGAATGACTCGACTGGCCCATGGGTTGTCTATTTTCAGCCCAAAAACAAACCCTTGAATGTTGTTCAGATATCTGATGATCTGACAAAGCGATTCTCTGCCGTGACCGAAATAACGAAGGTTAGGCACAACAAACTTCGTGTGACCGTCGCTAACCTGAAACAGGCCAATGAAATTGCTGTTTCCCAGTTTTTCACACTGGAATATAGGGTGTACATTCCAGCCTCTGATGTGGAGATCGAAGGCGTGGTCACTGAGGCGAGCCTGAACCCCGAGATACTGGAGAAGCAAGCGGTAGGCCGATTCAAGAACCCCTTGCTTCCTCCGGTAAAGATACTGGCCGTTCATAGAATGAAGTAAGTATCGCTCAGCGAGGGTAAAAAGAGTTTTACCCCCACAGACTCGTTTCGGGTGACCTTTTCTGGATCTGCCCTTCCTCAATACATCGAGCTGGGAAAACTTCGTCTTCCTGTGCGGTTGTTTGTACCTCGGGTCATGAACTGCCAGAATTGTAAGCGGTTGGGACATACGGCCTCCCACTGCGGCAACAAGGCACGCTGCTCCACATGCGGGGAGAAGCATGAGGATGGCGCTTGCGCAGCTACTGCACCAAAATGCGTGTACTGCAATGGAACTCCTCCTCATGCTCTCTCGTCGTGCCCGGCGTACAAACAGCTCGGGGACAAAATGAAACGCTCCCTTAAGGAACGTTCCAGGCGGTCTTTTGCAGAAATGCTTAAGACAGCCAAGCCATCGACCAACGAGACAAATCCCTTCGCTCTTTTGTCAGATGACGAGTCTGGCTCTGACTTGGCTGAGGAGGGAGTTTCTTTCAGTTTTCCGGAAGGTTCTGCCCGGAAACGAAAACGCATCCGTTCGCGGAAAGTTGCAGATCAAGAACTCCAAATCAGCTTGCCCAAATCAAGGAGTGGTGGAAAAAAGGAGACTTCTACTCCTCCTGGATTCCGCAGAACTGATTATACCCAGGATTTTCCACCTCTTCCGGGGACATCCAAAACCCCTGATGCCCCAATTTTAAGAACAGAAACCCCTTCTTCATCTGGGCTGTTCTCATTTGATGACATTGTGGACGGTATTCTCAAATACCTCAACATTTCTGATCCTCTGAAAAGCATTGTCCTCACATTGCTTCCGACTGTGAAATCCTTCTTGAAGCAATTGACTTCAAAATGGCCCCTTCTTGCAGCTATCATCTCCTTCGATGGATAATTTTCCAAACGAGGTCGGGGATTTGATCACTGTTCTACAGTGGAATTGTCGAAGTCTTATTCCGAAATTAGATTCGTTCAAGTATTTAGTCCATAACAATAATTGCGATGCATTTGCCCTCTGTGAAACATGGCTCTCTTCAGAAATTGATCTCCCTTTTTACGATTTTAACATTATTCGATTGGATCGTGAGGATTCACGTGGAGGAGGGGTACTTTTGGGGATCAAAAAGTGCCATTCCTTCTATAGAGTGAATCTTCCCGAATTCCCCGGTATTGAAGTTGTCGCATGTCAGGCTACCATTAAAGGTAAGAGCCTTTGTATTGCTTCTGTATATATTGCTCCTAGAGTCTCTGTTAATCGCAAACAACTTTTCGACATATGTGCGGTACTTCCCGCTCCATGGTTGATCATGGGAGATTTTAACTCCCACGGTACAGGCTGGGGGGAGCTGTACGATGATAACCGTTCTACTTTGATTTAT